AGTGCGATTGGCACAGGACAGAGCGGAGTTTAGGGCTGTTGTACATAGGGTCGCTATGAGTCGCAGGCTCCACGGTCAACACTCTTGGCATCAGCAGCCAGGAAATAAAAAAACGTATCTTGATTGGAAAGTCTGCTGTTAGGGACCTCTCTAAAGTACTCAAGAGTACACGGTGTGTCTCTGGAGACTGAGGTGAGTCTGATACAGGCCATGGTCTTTGCAATCACTTCTTATGCATCAGAGAGTTGGACAATGACTATGGAGGATAGAAGGATATACCTTTTAGCTATGGTGCTGGAGAAGAGTATTGAGAGTACCATGGACTGCCAAGAAAACAAACAAATTCATCCTGGAGTGGGTTAAACCAGGCTACTCCTTGGAGGCAAGGATTCTGGGGCTTTGACATACTTTGGACATGTTGTAAGGAGGGAGGGTCCTTGGAGAGGGACATCATGCTTGGGAGGGTGGAGGGACAGCGCAGGAGGGGCAGACCCTCTATGAGGTAGATTGATTCAGTGACTGGGGTAATCGGGATGGATGTGTCAGAGGCAGTGAGATTGGCACAGGATAGAGCAGGATTTAGGGCTGTTGTACATAAGGTCGCTATGAGTTGCAAATGACTCGACGGCACATAACAACAACAACAACAACAACAACAACATTCATCTCTTTCTCTGACCCTCCACCTTTCCCAGATTGATGTTCTTTTCCAAGGACCTGTCCCTCCTGACAATATGCCCAAAGTGTGTGGGATGATATTTCACCTGCCTTGCTCCGGAGCGGCATTCTGGGGGCACGTACTCCCAGAGAGACATGTTTGTTCTTTTGGCAGTCTGTGGCATAGTCCATACTCTTTTCCAGCACTACAGGTAAAAGGCATCAATTCTTTTGCTACTCTTTTTCATTTTCCAACTTTCTGATCATAGGAAGCAACTTATAAGATTATAAGATTATGGCTTGAATTATGGACATCTTAGTTGATAAACTGATATTCTTGGTCTTTGGCATTTTTTGATGTAAAAAAAGCAATGGCAGCATGTAGATGGCGCTTTCCTCCACTAAGTGCACAAGGGAGGACTGCTCTCATAAACAGCATCCAATTCATATCAGGTAAGGCATGCTCCCGCATGCTCCTGCACCTCTCTATACTAATCACAGCATTAATCTTACTGCCCTACAGGATCCAGAAGCTGAGCTGACTGAGAAATTGTATCCTAATGTCAACCTGAATTGTAACCTGTCAAGTTCTCTGACAAACCCTGTAACAGAGTATGCTTTTATGAGATCTGTGTGGTCATTGCAATGGATTTCAGAACCAGTAAATTAGTAAGTTGGTGTTAGAATTAGTAAAGTAGGTTCAGGATCATAGGAGGCCATGTCTGTTCTTACAGGAATTAGGTTTTGGAATTTGTGGATGTTTTTAATATCTGATCTCATAGGAAGTGGTTTTTTTGCTGTGGATCTTGTTAATGCAGGCAGTTCTCCTTTGTGGAGTTAGTAGAGTCTAGATACAGCCCCATTCATTTTACAGGAGGGGAAAGATAAGACAATTGGAGGCTTAGTTCAGCAAATCTAATATAAGAGTCATAGAGTTCCAGGAACAAAGAACAGGGAAGTAGAAGTGAGATTATCAATTAAGTAATTGTAGAAATGGAAGGACATGCGTTTCTGTACTCATCAGCACAATGCATAGATCCAGACTAATGTACTGCAATGGGAAATCCAGAGCACTGAAACAAGCATATCTCAAAATCTTCCAGAGGGAAGGAGAAAACAAGACAATACAGCTGGTAAAGCACCAATTTCATTGCTAACTTCAACAATAACCCTAGAAGCTAGAAGCATATTGAGGAATTTTTAAAATTTTCAAGGAAAAATATTTTTTTTAACATGGAATTTTACACCAAGCCAAACTGTTAGTCAAATGCAAAGTCTGGGGCATTGTATTACATGCAATGTCTCAGAAATATACTTAATGCAGGAAACTGCTGGAAGCAATGCTCCTTTTTTTTAGACATGATAATCCAAGAAAGAAGGAAGCATAGGATTTAGGGAACAAGGCATCTAACTGGAAAGAGAGGCAAAAGATCTGGCCAGGGTGAGATAGAGGGTGATCCCAGGCGCACAGCTGTGCAGCAGGTCTAGAGGTCAAGAAAGAGTTCAGAGCATCTGGAAGAGATACTGCTAAAACAGTAAAATTGATAGAGCACTTGTTAGATTTAAATTTATTAAGAGGAGATTTACTCAATGATAGAGTTTGGGGACTAACAAGTGATGTATAGGATATATGGGAAGCAAAACAAAGAGGGAGATGACAATTATTAATTTCAGGCAAACAAAAAAATAGTATTAAAAATTAATTATAATGATAGATTTATTTTATTGTTGAGCTAAGAATAATGTTATAATGGCAACAAAGTAGATACTGAATATTTACATAACCAAAAATTACATTTTCATGAATAATGTCAGGAAATGGTGAGAAGTGCTTTGGGAATCTAGAGAGGTATGTTTGTGTGAATGTGTATATGTTTGTTAGTGGTGGGCACAGCTAATTGTCTTTTAATGAGGGAATCAAGTTTCAGAGCTTCCGAAAGTAGAAGGTCAGTGAAAAAGAAGACTTTCAATGAGACGGACTGACCAAGATATTTCAAAAACGAACTCAAATGGAGCTTTGTTTTTATACTGGGCAATCCTGAGTCAAAATAAATTTAGAAGTGTGTAACAACATCTAAAATTTTTATAAAGACAAAGTCTAAATTAAAAGGGAAAAAATAAGATAGATTATAGATATAAAATTCAAAGCAACATAGGAAGTCCATTTAGTGTTACTTGTTATTTTGCATAGTAATTAAGAACATACACACTTGGCCCAGTTCCCTGGTTTCATATTTTAATTCTAACATTTGACAACTATGTGTCCTTGAGCAAAATGAATTCTTGGTCTTAGTGCCTTGTTTTCCTACTACCTAAGTAACTTCAACTTCTTAGTGATACTGTGAGGGCTTAAATGCTAATAATATACATTGAATACTGCTTGGAACATGGCAAGTTTTCAGTAAGTATTAACTACCATAGTTACGACTGACCTGTGAGTAAGCATCAGAAATTAATTAGAAAAGTAATGATAACATAATAATAGATTTGACAGGTAGTATGGGGAAATGAAGTTGCTTCTCCATAAAGCTTACTTTTGTTCCCCTAGAAAATACATGTAACACTTATGTATATTTATTTTTCCTTAGAAAGCTTTATAAAATCATTCTTTCAGAAAACATATGTAAAACTGTTTGATACTTCTCTAAGAATGCATCACAAAACCTGAGAATAAACTCATTCCATTCCTGGAGTAAATGAGACTATTTATCTGAACTAGAGCTGAGAGAGTAACCTAGAAGTGAACTGTTCCAAATCACATCATAACTCCCCAGACCTATGCGCCTGTCTCCGAGAGAATCACAGTCCATAAATACCTGAAGCAGTACTTCTGGTTTAAACTGTTCAGTAAAACTCCAGTCCATTAGACTGCGCTGCTGCGTTTTCTTTATGTCCTCCAAACTGGCTTCCACTGTCATCTTCTTAGGTTTCTAGAAAAATCATATGAACACAATTTCAGCTTTAATTTGTTTAAGTCCAAATGGAGCCCTCTTGGACTCCACCAGCTCACCAGCATGCACCCCATCTAATTGGGGAAATCTGCATATGTATAAATCCATATGGCAACATTTTAGGAGAACTGCTGCCAGAAAGAGTATGCCTTTGACTTTTTTTTATGGGCAACATAATCTAAATATTTTTATTGTTAGGTTATACTCTTCTGTGTCCTGTTAGCAATTATAGGCAGGTTTTCTGAACTCACTTCAAGACAGCATTAGTTCTCCATGGCTGTATGGTCAGCAGGTGTTTGTGAGGATGCCAAGCCACACTGTCTAGAGAGGAGCGTGGAGTTTGGAAGTTTTGCTTGAGCAGGCTAGTAAAATTAACCCCTTTCTCTCCAGCTGAAGCCAGTTCTAGGGATGTCTGAATCATCTTCCCTACCCCCTACCCGCCAGCATTGTCCTCTAACCGTCCTTTTTGTGTGGGAGTTTCTCACTCTGGGTCATGGCTTGCTCAGATCATCTTACTTGTCATCTACACTTTTAGGAAAATCATTCCTTACCTTTTCAATAGAACCAGCCTGCGTGACTGCTTCATCTTTGATCTCGCTGTCCGTGGTCTGCTCTGTAAATCAAAGACACCAATATGCAATTGTAGTCGGCCTTTGTTCTTGCTTTGGTCAGTGCTGTGCCTTTTTGTTGCACATATGATCTATGTTTCCGTGTTGAAAAAGGCAATTCCTGAAAGGCATGTTTCATGCCTCCAAAGGGGGTGTTTGTGTCAATAATCTTAAATCAGTTTCTTCTTAGAAAAATCCTACTAAATTCTTTGAAAAGAAGCTTGCTACACAGAATTTATATCTTTTCAGTTGTTCTGCATTGAAACATTGTCTTCTGACAATGCGTCTTTCCACACTACAAATACCTATGTATTAAACTGATAACATTGACTGATTAGTAGCTTGGTTCCACTGTTTATCTTGTCTTACTAGCAACCCTCACAAAAGTCTTTTCAAACATATTGGGTACTATCTGATGAGTGACAGTGGATGTATGTAATGAAAAAAAAAAGACAAATCTTAACCGATTAAATGTACTGATTAGAAAATGATACAATTCCATCATTTTACAGAATTCTTCATTAAACTGTTATTAATCTAAAAGCCATCTATTGAGCATTTTTAATGTTCTAGGTGCAATTTAACAAAAGTCAGTTAAGTGAACAAATAAGGCATATACATTTGCTCTCCTTTTGACCAATAAATAAACTCACACAATGGTTAGGAAAGCAATATCATCCTTGACTGTAGAACAAACGACCAACGACTTTAGGAGAGACAGAAAAAATCATGCTATTGGTTTTTATACCATCATGCTTCAGCCATTCTAAAAAATTAATAAATGTCACATAGAAAGAAAAACTTCTATGAAAAATGGAACAGGAAGGAACAAATAACTGTAGATGTGTAATAAGCTTTTGCGATTATGAATACCAAGTACAGTAATTGATAAAGTTTATAGTATTTTTCTAAATTTGAGCAAAGAAATAGAGTAAAGGCGTTGAATCTCATAGGAATATATTTGTGAGGCTGCTGATGAATTGAGCCAACCGGCTTTTTTCATCAGCGTTAGAATAATAGTAAAAACATCAAGTTCCACAAACTCATACATGAAATGACCTCTGCCTAACTTTCCAATCATCACTCATTACGTATGCACAGTTACTTGTCTGTCTTTTCACATTCTCCCTTGCTCACTCCACACCCAACTCAGTGCCTGCTGTCTGTGCCTCTGGGTTTTTGCTTACATTTTCCCTCTCTGGCATGCTTTGTCCCTGGGTTAGGATTATTCTAATCTCCATGGCTCTAGCATGTCAGGAAATGTGAGGATGGCACAGAATAGGAGGGGGTTCAGATCTGTGGTTCATAGGGTCACCGTGAATTGCACTCAACTCAGTGGCACCTAACAACAACAACATTTGTACTTCATTCAGCTGGAGAGAGGATGAAAGACACCCAAGCTTTGAGGACTCTGAGTTGCCTGTGACTCGATGGCACTTAACAACAACAACCATTCAGAGTATTACTCAAATATCATCTCTTTAAGAGCCTTCTGCACTCTGCTTTGCTTTAATCATAGCATTTATCAGAACCTGATGTTATTTATTTGGCTATATTCAGTCTCTTCTTACCTCACCCCTAACTTCCAAACATAAACTTTTTAAAAGTGGAACTTCATATTATTTCACCCCAACAGTTTTCTGTAGGGGGCAAAGTTGGAACTAGTAATTTGTCTCAATGTCTTATGTGCATTTTATATTAAAACTGGAAATGAGGATAGTCATATATAAAGAGTTGCAATATGCAAGAAAACCTATAGAAAAATTTATATTGGATTAAACAGAAGACTTAACTTGTCATACTAGGACAAATAAAAAAAATACTTGGGCTTCTAGAGGGAGTAGTTAATTATGCCTACCTAGGACAAATTGATGTTTATCTTTCTTTTAGGAACATAGCTACTTACATTTTCACTACTAACTCCATCTTGCGTCAGGCTGGTGAAGGCTGACAGCATGAGTGTTCCATTTTGATTTAGAGGGAAACTATAAAGCCAATTAAGTTTAGTATTTATATAAATACATCCACTCAAGAGAGAACTCAGGCCAACTCTAACTCTAAATAGACCATGATGTCCCCTGTGTCCTTGAAGCAACTGATATGAAATCTGTGGGATAAAGATTATTCTATTCCATGGTCTGCCAGATTTCCGGGAGATTTGATATTCCCTCCAGTGTCTAAGGATCTAGAAGAAGAAGTCTCCAGTTTATAAAATATGTTTTTAAAAATGTTCAGTCAATTATTTTGTCAAAAGAAAGGATACTCTAAAACTAATCTGAGCCCTTTATTTAATAGTATAATAAAAATAACCTTTTTCTTTCTTTTTGATTTTTGCCCTCAACCACATAATTCTTTGACAGTGTGATTCAGTAGTTTTTGACACATCTGGAAATGGACGCTTTCTCATCTCTTTGAAAAACAGCTTTCCTAATCTGTTTTACTTTAGAGATAACAAGATCCCTCTGCAAAGCAGTTACTTTATTAAAAAAACACCCAACAAGCATAAAGGGCACATCTAAACCTATAGCCTCACGGTTATCAACTCTTAGGTTTTTCATAAATATCCAATATGCCTGTCAAGTTCAAAAACAATCTCAGATGAAAATCTAGTGTTTGGTTAAGAAAAATACAAATAGTTATCCCTTCATGTCCAAGAAGACGACTTATAAATGCATTAGATGCCAAAATGATCATCTAGGAAATAGAAAAATGACTCTGACTTTGCTTAAAGAGATGCAAAATGGCTGCTCTTGCAGTAAGTAAGTATGATTAAGAGTTAGAGGAGAGAAATAAAAGACAGGCAATAATCAACAAATACACAATTCTCATACACACAAGAGCAACAGTGGTATGCAGGGTTTTAGCTGCTTTTCTCTACAAAAGGAGGCTGACTTTCACCATGTCCTGGGTCCTGGCCACAACTTTTAAGGTTGCTCAGCTTCTAGAAAACATTCTCTATGAGATCTTTGCTGCTGTTGTTGTTGCTGTGTGCCACCGAGTCACCTGAGACTCATAGTGACGCTATGTACAAGAGCACATAATCCTGCTCTATCTTGAGCCAACTTAATTGTCCCTAACACTCCTACCTCCAAATCCCCAGTTACTGAGTCAATCTATTTCATCTAGGGACTTTTTCTCTTGCACTTTCCTTCTACCCTCCTGAGCATGATGTCCCTCTCCAAGGACTAGTCCCTTCTTGCAACATTCTCAAAATATGTGAGATGAAGCTTCAAAAATCCTTCTGGTTTCACCATGAGCCCCTGTGTTGCCACTAGGTGGCAAGAGTCGCCCGAGAAAAATGGCATACACATTAGTGGCTCTAAAGAAAAAAACGCAAACACACTGAAACTTCAGGTCTTTAGATCTTTATTGCCTTGTTCTGGGTACATAGTACCCTCAGAGTAACTTTCTTTTTACATGTGTGTATCTCTATAGAATACACTGATTCTGTAACTTTTCCGGTTTGGCTTAATTTTTGTGTGCTAGGTAACTGGTCTGTGACTCGATGGCACCTAACAACAACAATATCAACATAGAGAGAGAGATCAGCTGGCCCAGTGGACAGAAAGCAATGCTACCAAGCCAAAGGTGGGTGACTTTTAATCTGCGGTCCTCAGGCCTGTCTTTTATTGTTTTTGTTCAGACATTCCTCTAGGTCATATAGCCCTGGGGTACAAGTTGCCATACTGAGGTCACTTGTGGCTGCTGTGAGGCTGAACACTGTGACACTGATGTGTCAAATGTGTTAATGGTTGGCTACCCAATGCGGACAGAAAGTGGGGTGGAGCTCCCCGATTAAAACAAGCTTGGAAGGAGGAGTGGCATCCAATTCCATAATAGCTTGCCTCTGGAAACCCTATGAACCTGGATAGAGGATGAAAGGCACCCAAATGTCAAGGACTCTCCTTCATAGGGTCACTATGAGTCGCCTGTGACTCGACGGCATTTAACAACAACAACAGGCTAACTGGTAAGCATGCTGAAGACAGAAATGGGGAATACATCCTGTTGAGAGGAATAAATGAAGATATAAAAGCAATAAATAAATAAAAGATCCGTATTAGATAAAGAAGAGATTGCAAAGACAGCTAAATCATTGCATGCATCAATAGACATTTGGGGAATTGAGGAAGCCACAAGATATTGTTCAAACATTGGTTTGAAGTTAGATAGCTCTCAGCTCAAAGCTTGACATTTTATTTATATGCTGTTGAATAATTAACTAACCTCTCTGAGTCTTGGTTCCCTTGTTTATAGAACTTGAATAACATTGTCTTTATCATAGGCTTGTAGCTTGAATAATTTATCATGTAAATTGTTGTTGTTAGGTGACGTCAAGTGTAGTACAACTCATAGCAACACGATGATCCAAATACTGCCCTAGCTTATGCCACCCTCATAATCTCTTTCACACTAGAACCCATTGCTGCAGTTACTGTGTCAATTCATCTCATTGAGGACATTCCTCTCCTTTGCTGACCCTCTACTTTTCAGAGAATGTTGTCTTTTTCCAAGGATTGGCCTCTCCTTACCAACATGCCCTAAGTATGTGAGACAGTTTCACCATCCTTCCCTCTAAGGAACATGCTGTTTATATTCTCTCCAGCACAAATTTATTTGGTCTTTAGGCAGTCCTGCAATATTTAGTGCTCTTCTCCAGCACCATCGATTCTATTCACCATCCAAATCTCAGATGCATAGCAAGTAATTGAAAATGGTTGGGACACATCACCTGAGTTCTTAAACTGACATCCTTGCTCTCTAGCACTTTAGAGACGTCCCTGACTGTATGTATTCCCAGTGGAACATGTCTTTTGATTTCCTTACTGCAAGGCTGTTGATTATAGATTCCAGCAAGATGAAAACATTGCTAATTTCTATCTTTTCTTCATCTATCACGATGTTGCCTATTAGTCCCATCATGAGGATTTTTGTTTTCTTGATTTTAAGATGTAATTTGGACTGAATGCTGAATCCTTGATATTTTTCAGTGAGTGCTTTAAGT